CACGATATGGTAATACTACGATATATTTATAGCCTACGGTCCACGATAATCGTATCGTATGCTTTTTTGTTGTTCTTGCCAAATCTTGTTGTCGTGATTATCGTTGGTGCACATTTTTGCTTAATTCTTTATTTCCGGACACCGTGCATATACAGAAACATGCACGACATAACAAACTCACCGTTTAAAGTTGGAAGTAAGTATAGATTCAATATCGTTTCCCGGTGTAATTCACAGCTTGACTATTATGTGACGTGGAAAGTTCGGATTCTAACTTTGAATGTTTTAGTGAAGTTTTGACATTGACAGCAAGTGCGTTATTAGCGTTATGGATTGTAAACTTACAATGATGAGACGACGTACATGGCAAGGCTTAAGTTGAGTCAACTGCAGTTGAATTCACTTTTACTTTTTAATGCGTACTGGAACAGCAAAAACACAGAAACGATCAAATAACAACATTTGTAAGATACAATTACAAAGCTATGCGAAATAGATATCGCAATAATCGTCATATCGCGACATTTGATATCGTATATTGAACATGACATCGCGACAACCCCAATTGAAAAAAAGGCTTCAGTCGTTCACCTCTCCATAGCCTTCGTGTCTGTGCTCTGAAGGGTCATTGCCCGAAACGTCGCCTTGTCCATGTGTTTTTTTTTCCATACCTGTCAACCCCTTATCAGTACCCTGCCTTATTACAGACCAATTCAGACCTTATTGGTCACCACGTGTCCCTTATAAATCTCAACGTTCAGCCTACAAAATCGCATCACAAGGTAGAAACACAAAGTCAAAACAATGTTTTGCCCGTACGCCGTATGGACCTGAAAACGCAATTTCTCTGCACAAGCATGCGGGGGTAAACCGCACGGGTTGACAGCTGTGCTATTCGGGCAGCGGTGATCGTGTTTGTTCGCCACTGCCAACGCGGCATCACAAGAACACAACCCAAGACGTTCCCCCAGAGTCACACAGTGACCACAAGCTGTCGTGGTGTAACGCCGTCTCTCGACTCGCAATTCGCGTGACGCCGGTTCGACTCCCCATCTCGTGGCACGGGGTTAATTGAAACAATGGTGCAGGTTTGATTTGTTTTTTTTTGTAAATCCACCCCCGCTTTGTAAGTGGGGTGCATCACAGATAGTCAGTGAGCTCGCGCGTGCAGTGGTGGAGTGGGGTAAAGTGTGGGTACTCCCATCTCCCCGTTCGGTAAAATAAAATAAAAACCTCAATATTTCAAGAGCCCACAATGCAACGTGAATACGAGACGGTGTGGTCCATAATTTAAAACAAACGTCTCACGAAGCAGCTCCTTAAAGAGCCATGTTTGCAGACTCCCTGCTTTTGTAGGGAGAAAGTCGTGTCCAGAGCCCTCGTTCATAGAGGACCCTTGAGCCAGACGTCGTGTGGGCAAGGTATTTAAGGGCTGCCCCACTTCCACCTGCAGTGAGCGAGATCGGCAGGTAGACATCGTCACGAGCTTGTGCGGACTCGTCTCCTCGTCATCGGCCCGCCACACAAAGGGATTATTATCCTGGCTGTCTACGGCGAATCCACACACACACACGTGCTGCGTCGGCCGTCACTGCGGTCTGTACAGTGCAATACACATATATGTACAATACGTTTTCAATATATATACAATGAAGATTCGTCCGTATAGCCCTAACAGACTTTTGGAGCAAGTGCTGTCAGCGAGCACCTGTGAAGGACGAAACGGTACACGAGGGGGTTGGTGGGTGGCCAGCACCACGCCCGGCCGCCTTTGTCTCCCTTGTGGCGATGCTTATACACACACACCGGATTGTTCGGATTATAAGGCGCATCCCCTCCCCCTCCCCACCCCCTGTATCTTACAGCATAGTTTGGTTGGGTGGTGCGGTGCGTCTTATAATCCGGTAGCCGTGTGGACGTGAGTGTCCAGAGCTGTGTAAACTTGAAACCGGGCACCAGTTTAAAGTGAGCCCGACTTTATCTCCCCATGCAGTGCTGATGTTTGCACACCGCACCAGCCACTAATTTGGGCTGAGTCGACCCACGATAACAGCCCAGGAACGGTCCCGATATTCGTCACAGATGTTGACCGCGAGCGATATTTAATCGAACCCTCCCCTGGGCGTGCGGGCGTAGGTAGCCCAGTGCGCTAACCACCGCGCCACCGCTCCCCACGTGTGAATGATACACACACACACAGTGAGTGTACCTTTACGGAGCACACAAACGCGCATGGAAGATCACTTTTGAAATATGCCCACGAATATTACTTTGACTCTGAATTTTAGTTTTGCCCTTTTTTCCCTCTCGTTTGAGTCGGTATAATAAATGTAAAGGGCTTACCTTGATTATGTACTATCTGGGGGTTGCCGTGTATTTACGATATATAGTACGATACAACACAATAGGGCGACGGGCTCGAATATGATGATAATGTTTGTCCCCATAGAGGTTTATTTAGCTTTGGAGAATAGTTGCCCTTTCTCTTTGAGTTCAGTACATACAACTATATACAGGACTAATAGGTGTATGTAACATACAGTCATATAACCCTATAATTACATTACTTTAAATAGAGCGCTTTAATGGCAAAAATTCTATAAAGTATTTTTTTATATACTGTACACAAATTGTACATTTTTGCTATGTACTGTATTGCGTAGGCCTACAATCGTAATATAAATACCAAGATCCCCCGTATAGTCTTAACAAAATGTTCGGGCAAGTGCTGTTAGCGAGCACCTATGAAGGCCGGCACGGCACACGAGGGGGTGGGTGGCCAGCACCACGCTCGGCCGCCTTTGCCTCTCTCGTGGCGATGTTTACAGGAGGTCAAGGATTGGTTCAGTTAATCGTCACCGCTGTTGGTGCCCTTGAGCGGGGATCGAACTGGCGAAGCCGGTTTATTAGTGCAGCGCGCTAACCGCTGCACCACCGCTCCCCAGCTTAACACACACGCGCAGTCAAACAGCACAGCCTCGGGTTTTTGCAAAAACCTTGAAGGCAACACGTGGCAGTGTATACTTCAGCTCTAGACTGCATATATACATACGTTTGCTTGCGATTTCGAAACAAATCACTTACGCGCACAAATCGAATATATTTTTGGCGTTGAGTATTTTACAAATCAGGTGACGTGTGTTTTGTCTTCTCCGTGTTTGAAAAGAGATACACAAACACGGCTGATGTGTTGCGACATATTTGTTGTAGACTACTGTATTACAATCCAGTAATTGCTTATCTGGCAACATTCGTTTCAACAGGCCTCAACTCTGCTGATGACACCCAGAATGTTGAAACCAAGGCCAGAGCTTGCTCGCTTAAACAAATACTGCTGAAGGGTAATATTGGTCTGGACTTATGGACTGAAACATATATACATGTATTAATATATATGTCTGTTTATTTAAGTGGAGATACAATAAATGCGCGGCGCCCTTTGATTTCAGATGTAACTCAAAGTATCGTCTGGTAACTTAGTGAGCAATGCCTTACACGCCTGGGTCAGCACCAATGTTTGCAGATGATGCCACCAACACCTCGCCATCGCTTCCTTCCTTCTGCCCAAATTCCGTGGTTGTTGTTGTCGGCTGCCCGCGCCTTCAAGGTGGTTCGCTCTTACAGCCGAGTCTTGGTGACACATGGCGGGTGATCCATTTATAGATGTCCCATTGATTTCGAATGCCCCTCTTTCGTCTCAAGTTCGCTGATTGAAGATTGTGAAAGCGATAGCTCCGTATCTTGCAGAGGAGAGAGTTGGATTAATTTAATAATCGCATTGCGATTGGTGGTGGGCGTTGTCGAGGTTCTGCAGTGAATGTTTTGTTTTCTATATATATAATTTCTCCTGATTTTGGAGGGGTGTCTATGAACTCTACAATGATATGCAGCTGTATTTCTACGTGAAATCGAATAAATGTAGTGACGTTTCAGAAAGTATTTGCTCCACGACGACGACTCTCGTCATTGTCTGTGTCTCATGTAGAACATTCTATACATTTGCGTCCTCGCCTTTAACATCTGCCACCTCCATCAGCGTTCATTTAAGCAAAGCCTGGCCGCTGATGAGACACTCTGTGCCAAAAACCCGCGGCGCAGGGCTTGCCTGGAACCGAGTCGATTGCTTTGCTGGTATTACGCACTCGCAGAAGGCCATGCACGGGGCCTCTGGGATTCGTGTTTGTTGACGAAGGAGGCATTGTCCGCGTACCTATTTGGATGCCTACATTCGTTTGTGTCGTGCGCACATTCACGACGCGTTTTTGGAATATTCCACTCGGCCCCTAGATGGTGAATGGCCTTCTGATGGGCTCCGCCGCCGCTGCTGCAGTGGCTTATAGCTGGACGTGTACGTCGACTTTGTCTCCGGATGAAAGGCATCGAGTGGCTATTGTTTCATGCGCACTAGTTAACAAGAGCCCCGCGCGCGTGTTGTCCGTGCGTGTCGTGTGTATTCGCGGCGCGCTTCGTCGCCCCGTTTGGATGTTCCACGCGGACAACAACAACAGCAGCAGCAGCAGCAGCTAGCGCCTTGGATGCGTCGAGCGGGCGAGAGCGGTGCCACAGTGGATAGCAGCGCCATGCGCTAGGAACCCCCGGCGACCCCAGGTCGATTGCCGGGTCACGTCCAACAGATGTCAATGATTGGCGAATGGTAGCATGAACACGTCCTCCTCACTTTCCCCCTCTCCTTCATCAGGACCGCGCTGACCAGCGTGGTGAAGTATGCTCAACCAGCCCCCCCCCTCCCTCCACATAATCAACTTTTCGGGATAGCCCTTCGTCCATTGGTGGATGGAGAAGGGCTGGAATTTATTATTTTATTAAACATTATAAACACCTGTGTATAGTACGAACAATGCTTCCTACTACAGTATATACATCCCGTACACTTACATATAGTCATCCATCCAGCAGTGGATCGACAAAGGTTAAAAAATAATAAACCAATTTTTGTGTTATGTCATCAGGTAAGACCCATAATAAAAAGTTGTGGTAACTAAAGTATGAATAACCATATGTGTATAATAACTGTATAATAACCATACGTGTATAATAACCATACGTGTATAATCACCATACGTGTATAATCACCATACGTGTATAATCACCATACCTGTATAATAACCATACGTGTATAATAACCATACGTGTATAATAACCATACCTGTATAATCACCATACCTGTCAACCTCTATCAGTGCCCGACTTGTTACAGATCTTATGATCACCCCGTGCCCTTATCTCAACTTTCATCCTACCGATACACTCGGAGTAAAGACCTAGAGTGCCTGTTAGCTTGTGATTAACATCGCGTCGATGTTGTCATTCCATTGCCCCTGAAAATGAACGCACGATATTTTTAAATGTGTACGGTATATGCGTAAACTGTATTGTATTTTCAGTTGTTTAGCGATCGCATTTACCTTCAGCTCATCTTTACAGTTTTGTTTTAAAGTTATTCCAACATGTCCTGCAGTTCAGGTAGATTCGTTGCAATAAACGACTGTCATCAGCAAATCTCGAATTATGAATGTATACAGTACGCGTGTATGTTTTGCAACATATTCCACTGTAGCGAGTTCATATAACCTGCTGTGACATATGGGTCAGAAAGGTGGACGACTATTGAACAACAACAGTTGGAAAGTTTCGCAAAGAAGTATTGCTATAAATACGGGCGCTTTGAATGCCATTGAGAGATTGGGACAGAAAGAAGTCCACAGTGGAAAACAAACGCAGGTGAAAGGCGTCATTCGGTGGTCGAGACGAAGGTGGGAATGTCAGCCGAAGGCAGTCCGCGGAGACGGAGCGATCGCAAATCGACTCCTCGCGCGCAGGAGCGAGATTCCACTCTGTGTGTGATTCCGGTCGACGCTCACGCGAGAGGGACGGACGTGGTTTGTTTTTGGATTTCGTCAAGCAGTGGACAGAGCCTGGCCGCTGTTGTCCGATAACAGCGACGACGGCGAGGAGGAGGATGATGATGATGAGTAACACAACAAAACGACGCCGTAAGGGGGACGGTTGTGTAGCCGGAGTGCTGTCGGCACACCGGCGACACCGGCGTTTGTCTGGCAAATATAATTTGCATCCCCCCAGACCTATCGGGAAATAATGCACCGACCATTGGCCTCCGACTTTGGATACAAAGGGTGCTAATTGGCGCATCGGGGAGTCTTGATTTAAAGGCATTTAAAGCGGCTGGCACCTTGTTAGGAGGCTGGGCAACTTCAACGGCAGGATGCCGTGGTAGCAGGTAACGACGGGTGGCCGTGGTTGGTGGTGGTGGTGGGGAGTGGTTATTCTTTTTAAACGGTGTCGTGGTGCATGGAGAAGTGGTGCCACGGAGGGCGTTGGGGGTGGTGGTGGTGAGGAGGAGGAGGAGGTGTTTTGTGTTTCGTTAGTCACGTCGTGAGCGTGTAGGGGTCGAGCTGGTTATAAACACGCGCGGCTGCCGTGGAGCCCACCGAGCAAAACGCGGCGCGGCTGGTTGTTCTGACCTCTCTGTCCCATCTGCCTCGGACCGCAAAAACGAATAGAGAGAGAGAGAGAGGGGGGGGCCTTGGAGGTGCGTGTCGGGTGTAAACATCCGACGACCCCCGTCCGACTCTATCCATGTCAACAGGACACATTGCTGCTGCTGCTGCTGCTGTAAGTACATTGCATTGCGCACGAATATAATCGCGATACTATAAAACGTAAACGTTGTTGTTGGTCTTCTTCTTTGTAAACGCAGTTTGAGACGACCACCACGGCGCTTCTTCGGGTTTTTATTTTTTGCCGCTTCGCGAAATTCGCGGCCGTGCTGTGGGTCCGGGTCGCGCAGCGCGCGCGGTGCTGCTCGCCGCGTTGTCCGACGTTCCGCTCCACATGCCGGGAGCTTCTTTGCAGCAGCAGCAGCAACACCAGAAAACACATCGGAGAGCTAATACCAAACAACAAAACAGACTACAATATATATTTTAAATTCTTATTGTTATTTCCTTGTTTGTTACAACATAAGTTGTCAATGCCCGTTGAAGTCTTCCACGTATTTCTAGTGCAGCATAATAAGGCATATCCCCTCCGTAAATCTACTGCTGGATGAACGCCTCGCCCCACGCTGCGTTGGGGATCCTTTGACCATACTTCACCTCGCTGGTCAGTGTGCGGGTTGGTGATGGTATAGGCCGAGGACCGGTTTACACCACTCCTCCGTAATCCGTGCGTTGCGCGGTGCGCTAACAATTTGCTCTCCACCCCGTCTCTAACTCTTGTTTATCTGTAGTCACTCACACGTAGTCACTCACACGTAGTCACTCACACGTAGTCACTAACACGTAGTCACTAACACGTAGTCACTCACACGTAGTCACTCACACGTAGTCAGTCTTACTTAGTCACTCACGAATAGGCGCACGTAGTCACTCACACGTAGTCACTAACACGTAGTCACTAACACGTAGTCACTCACACGTAGTCACTCACGAGGAGTCACTCACACGTAGTCACTCACACGTAGTCACTCATCACGTAGTCACTCACACGTAGTCACTCACACGTAGTCACTCATCACGTAGTCACTCACACGTAGTCACTAACACGTAGTCACTCGCACGTAGTCACTAACACGTAGTCACTCACACGTAGTCACTCACACGTAGTCACTCCTACGTAGTCACTCACACGTAGTTACTCACACGTAGTCACTAACACGTAGTCACTCACACGTAGTCACTAACACGTAGTCACTCGCACGTAGTCACTAACATGTAGTCACTCATCACGTAGTCACTCACACGTAGTCACTCGCACGTAGTCACTCACACGTAGTCACTAACACGTAGTCACTCATCACGTAGTCACTCACACGTAGTCACTCACACGTAGTCACTCGCACGTAGTCACTCACACGTAGTCACTAACACGTAGTCACTCATCACGTAGTCACTCACACGTAGTCACTCACACGTAGTCACTCACGAGGAGTCACTCGCACGTAGTCACTCACACGTAGTCACTCATCACGTAGTCACTCACACGTAGTCACTAACACGTAGTCACTAACACGTAGTCACTAACACGTAGTCACTCATCACGTAGTCACTAACACGTAGCCACTCACGAGGAGTCACTAACACGTAGTCACTCACACGTAGTCAGTCTCACGTAGTCACTCATCACGTAGTCACTCACACGTAGTCAGTCTCACGTAGTCACTCACACGTAGTCACTCACGTAGTCACTCACACGTAGTCACTCACACGTAGTCAGTCTCACGTAGTCACTCACGAGGAGTCACTCACACGTAGTCACTAACACGTAGTCACTCACGTAGTCACTCACACGTAGTCACTCACACGTAGTCACTAACACGTAGTCACTAACACGTAGTCACTCACGTAGTCACTCACACGTAGTCACTAACACGTAGTCACTCACACGTAGTCACTCACACGTAGTCACTAACACGTAGTCACTCACACGTAGTTACTAACACGTAGTCACTCACACGTAGTCACTAACACGTAGTCACTAACACGTAGTCACTCACGAGGAGTCACTAACACGTAGTCACTCACACGTAGTCACTCACACGTAGTCACTAACACGTAGTCACTCACACGTAGTCACTCGCACGTAGTCACTCACACGTAGTCACTCACACGTAGTCACTCACACGTAGTCACTCACGTAGTCACTCATCACGTAGTCACTCATCACGTAGTCACTCACACGTAGTCACTAACACGTAGTCACTCATCACGTAGTCACTCGCACGTAGTCACTCGCACGTAGTCACTCGCACGTAGTCACTCACACGTAGTCACTCATCACGTAGTCACTCGCACGTAGTCACTCACACGTAGTCACTAACACGTAGTCACTAACACGTAGTCACTCACGAGGAGTCACTAACACGTAGTCACTCACACGTAGTTACTCACGAGGAGTCGGACCCGTTTGCTGCCTACCGATGTGTGTGAGAGTCTTCGTCATGGGCTGCTGTGCGCAGAGATAATGCGGCGACTTCTTAATGTCACCGTGCTCTGCATCATCATCGTGCTTGGGGGGATTCCCGACTTCGCGTTCACCGATCCCTGGTGGGGTTATTGCGTCGCGTTGTGCTTGCGTAAAACTCGACCTGTGAGCGCACCCGTTAACGAGCTTCGGAACCAGATTTTAACTTATTTATACCGCATGAATCCGATGAGCTACAAAGCTCTTTGTCACAGATGTCCTGAAGCTTAATTTCCCTGGCGTGGCGTGCATCAGTGGCGAGTGATATCTAAACCCGTTGCGGCGTTGAACCTCTTATAATCAAACCCACTTGGTGTGTGTGTGTGTTTGACCGGGCGTCTGTAACCTTTTAACGGAACCTGAATGGGGTTTTTTGTGTGTGTGTAAAATATATACAGTACATAAATAATATATGTATATAACAGGCGTGTTGGTTTGTTTAAAGTAATACTCGTACTGCACTGGCGATGTAATTCGTTACGGGTGTTTGAATTGCAACCCGCAGCGACCAGCGGGGTGAAGTATGTTCAAACAGACCCCCCCACGCTAGACAACACGCCGTGTGGGGGTGGTGGGGGGGGGGGGCTTCATCCAGCAGTGGATTAACAAAGGGGTTGTTTAAATATACTGTATAACATAGACAGTAAGTCCTCGTTCAACGCGGTAGATGCGTTCCTGAAAAGTGCCGCGTTAAGCGAAAAACGCCTGGAGCGAAAACAATTTCCACATCGATAATGTAGCGATAACGTTTGGCGAGATACGACGTACCACCACTACGCACACCGAGGGCACACCGCCGCGTAACTGCATCATTCCACGTGCCGTGTCACTGTACCGCTCAGCAACGCAGCTCAAGAGAGAGCAGTTCGTCGTGGACCGCTCAGAAATCGCGTTATAGCGGCGTGTTATAACGGGCGTGTTGTAATGGGGCGTGTTCCATGTTATAACGGGCATGTTGTAATGGGGCGTGTTGTAACGGGCGTGTTTTAATGAGGCGTGTTCCGTGTTATAACGGGCGTGTTGTAACGGGCGTGTTTTAATGAGGCGTGTTCCGTGTTATAACGGGCGTGTTATAACGGGCGTGTTTTAATGGGCGTGTTGTAATGGGCGTGTTGTAACGGGCGTGTTGTAATGGGGCGTGTTCCGTGTTATAACGGGCGTGTTGTAATGGGCGTGTTGTAATGGGGCGTGTTCCGTGTTATAACGGGCGTGTTATAACGGGCGTGTTTTAATGGGCGTGTTATAACGGGCGTGTTTTAATGGGCGTGTTGTAATGGGCGTGTTGTAATGGGGCGTGTTCCGTGTTATAACGGGCGTGTTATAACGGGCGTGTTTTAATGGGCGTGTTGTAATGGGCGTGTTCTAATGGGGCGTGTTCCGTGTTATAACGGTGCACGTTCTGCGTTATAACGGCGCACGTTTCGCGTTGTGCGGAAAGTGAAAGCGAGGACTCGCCGTCTCTATATATATTCATCCATACGTCATCTCTGTCTCTCTCTGCCGTGGCGCCTGCCTCCCAGGGTGACGCTGCAGGCTGACGTGACCGGGTCGGAGTGAGGGAGCCGCGTCGCGAGACCACAGAGAACCCCCCCTGCACCACCAGCCCCCCCCCCACCCCACACCGCAAGGCGCTCGGAGAAGAAGTGGGGGGCACCATGGCGTACCTGGACCTCAAGCAGACCGCCTACCCGGGCCTCAGCCTCGCCACCAACGGCATGGACCTGTTCCACCCCGCGCTCGGTTACCCAGGTGAGATCCCAGCCGTTGAGGGCAGTCACCGCTCGCGAGACGCGTACGCCAAGGTGGCGAATGATGAAAGAGTTTGTGTTTGCCTCGCGCTTGCGGATGTGCAGCAGTTACCCGAGTCGTCAGCGCTTCGGTGTTTGCATTGTCCTTGTGCTGCTCCGTCTCTCGGCTCGCCTTTCGGGCTAGCACTGGTGAAACGATGCCATTGAAGGAGAAGAACCATTGCCACGACACGTCTTTTTTTTTCAGGCCACACTCACGGTGTTGTTATTGACAACTGTGAGGGGTTTTGTTGTTGTTTGTGCATGTGCACAACTGCCAACGCAACAGTGGCAGCAACATCACCACCACGGACTGTAGCTTGACGGAGATGAACATCGCTGGATTCTGCTTTGTACCTGCGCCAGAATCTTTAATTATCTTTGAAAAATCCGATGAGCTATGAAGCTCTTTTTCCACGGATGTATCCTGCGGACACGTGCCTCGTGCCTACAATGCGCAATGCAGAGGCACGTGTCTGCCCAGCTTGAAAGCCGCGTACGTGTCTCTTGAGGAATCTGTTTAGACTTTCGACCGCGTCACCTTGCCGATGAGTCTCGGCCGTGTGTAATGGACACGTCAGCACACGTTCGCCCAAAAGAGGATTAAGAGAAACACCATCACCCACCTGCACGTGGGTCGGGCCATCCGAGTACATGCCACCGTGAGGGCGTCTCTCCACTGCATTTGTATTGGAATGTTGTGCAAACACATCCATAGTTTGTCATCCGCACCCGCACCTCCTATTAGCACGGCTGGCTACGTGAACACATATACAATGATAAAAATAGACCTCGGTGTGGAATAATAACTTCTACGCGGTACAACGACACAGAGACCAGACAGTTCCGTCATGTGCCAGAGGATGTGGAGATCCGTGACTATAGCGACACAACCGATCCACTTTGAAGAGCCCTGCTCAGACTTGCAAATAATCACAGGCATATTCATAGCTCCATTACCGTGTGAACGCCCGCGATCAAATCGCCCGGAACACGCCCCAGGTCTCCTCGGATTTCCGAAGCAAAGCTCCCACCCCCGTGGTTGAGCCTGCAAGCTCGACTGGGTGGAGGACCGTGTGGGAAAATAGGGGGATCTGTAAGAGGCGTCGTAGGCCGTGGAAGAGTTCAGATCAGCAATATTAAACTATTTTTTTTTCTTTTACCAGGTAATGCCCACTGAGCTATATAGCTCTTTTGTTCAGAAGCGACCGGGCTATCACAAAAATGAAAGCTCATACGAAGTAGCTTACCGTCATGTGGAAATGTATATTGGCCAAAAAACGCGTGATGTTGATTCTAAATGTGGAGGGGAAAAAAAACCGGAGGACCTGGAGCAAAATCCACGCGACCACGGGGAGAGAGACACGCAAACTTCCAATACACAGCAGGCGTCAGGGTTGGGATCGAACCCACGAACTCCTGTATACCGGGCGAGGTAGTTAACATCTCACCACTGCCGCGCATTTCTGTCCCGCACTCCCCTTCTCCCAACTTCACCAGCGAGGGGCACCATGGCATACCTGGACCAGCGAGGTGGTGAAGTATGGTCAAATACCCCTCATGGTCCGCAAGGCACAGAGTATGCCCTGATCCAGCAAGTCACTTAACACAACAGGGCTGAACATGTCAGAATCAGAACCATAATCTTTACTTATCTTTGAAACATTCAATGAGCTATGAAGCTCTTTTTCCACAGATATCTCCTGTGGACACGTGTCTCGTACCTACAATGCGCAATGCAGAGCCTCGTGCCTGCACAGCTTTATAGCCGCGTAGGAAAGGATTCACACACAAATCTTCACATCCACACACTGTGGCCAGTGAACAGATCGGGAGTGCCTGCACTAACTTTAACTTTTTTATTTCCTTTTTTTATTGTTCAGCCAGCCTCTAAGCACTCGTGGCAGCGCTCTCTCTACGTGTAATGATTTGTACCTACCCCTGTGATTTCTACCAACCTCATTTTATCCATCTCTATGCCACTAATTATATTTTTTATTTAGTTCTGCCTCTTCCGCTGACGTTCGTCTGACTCATCTCCCGGTGATCTGGAACTGACGCAATTGAGCACCTTCAAGTGCGGCCCTCTTGAACGCACAAACAGTCCCCTGCGGAGCACCGTTTTGGTTTTGGCCACGTTTTACTCGCAAAGTGTTTGCGAGTACGGTTCCGAGCTTCCTTTGGTCTTAAACCAAATTCCCCCAGTGACTGAGCACTTCTGGAGTTGTTTGCAGAGGGTAAACCACAAGCATGGACAGCATCGTTTTTGGTCTTCGTGAACGAATGGACGGTTCTCTTATGCTACACATTTGTCTGGGGATATGAGCAGCTCACCTGACCCACCCTCACACGCTATTTTTGGCTAACCATCGAACTTTTGGCTAACCGTCGAACAAAGACAGTCCACTGCATCGTGCGGCGCTTTCAGATGCGCTTCTGCGTCCATCTGGAACGCTCTGCCTTCTGATATTAGGAAGCCACTGGAGCTATGCACTTTTAAATCTAGATTGAAAACTAATTTCTTTAGATCTTTTTGTATTTAGTTTGTTGTCCTTCCCGCGCACCTCCAATTGAGACGGTTGGCTACATACGGCGCGGAAGAAGTTCAAACACACATACATTGCAATCTAATTTATATTTCTTGCAAATTTGGATAGCACCAGGACATATTTCCCGACTTATTCTGTGCGATACCCCGGGGTCTCTCATAAACGTCCCATTTCCATCAGGTGGCACGCTTTAGGGGCAGTGCGTTTCCAACACTCCAGACCATCCCATTGGCCAGCAACATAGCCAATGGGCTACGAGCAGGACCCACACCGAGCTCAGGGATTTTTTTTTCTTTGGCTGTGCCACTTTCATCAATTGATTTGTGGAATGTTCTGCTCTAGAATAAGACCACAAGGGATAATGAAATGGTCAAAAGTACCGTGCAATCTTATTCAGTGCCAAGTGCAATCATTGGAAAGCTATTTAACCACGAATTAGTTGATTGGTAGGAGGCAATTTTTCCAAACGTATATTAAGAGTGTAAAGCATTCATTATTGTATTCTTGTTCGTACACACTGAATTGTAAATTGGTAAATGTAAACAACAACTTACCATTTGTTATTTAAGAAATGTATAAACAATATCCCCACATCAAAGTAGTGTAAGTTAATTACAAAATTAGCAGTTTTCAACTGAATCATCATCGATTATTGAGCGAGGCCACGTAAACGATTTCACCAAGTTTGAGACGTTAATGCCATCCAATCGCTCCATGCGGGCCACACTCACCACGTGGTGTAAAAATGGTTTAACTGGACCAGTTCTTCTTATTATTATTATTATTTTAGTGCAATCACCAGTAAAGTTGAAGAATAATTTCCCCAACAAATGCAGTAATTAGATACTAAGATCATTATGTGGCCGAAACCAAAAAGCAGTTACCATGAATCATAACATTGAGGTTATTAGTGGGAACCAAATCCAAAATGAATGCATACGCATGCTTTTTTAATTGTTAAGATAATAATAATAATGATGCAACAACAATTAAGCTTTAAAATAAATCTACCAACATGGATCAAAAAAATTAAGTACAATGCTATACAATGAGAATTGTGAGTAACTTGTAGGGAAATGTCTCTATGAGCTACAAACACTCCCAGGAGTATTCACTGATGAACAGAATGCTATTTCTGAACACAGTCGATTCCTCGGCATGCTCAAATAAAACTCGGCAACCTTCATTCAAATGAGTCGAGTTGTTTCTCCCACTAAATGAAATCACATTGATTTGATATCCCACGAAATCTCATTGCCCTAATTGTGTAGGCTTTTGCTGAGAGGAGGCGGATTACATGGAAGGAAAAAATAAAATGATTAAGTTCATCGTCATGCCAAGTGTGCAGAGATGCAATAAAAAAGTGGATTATTTTAAATGACATTTCAACCTGGAATATACTTTTTGTTGTTGTTTATTAACTGTGTGTCGAGTTTGTAAAGCCATTTGTTAATGGCTGGGGTAGCCGGGTGGATTCCATCTGTACCACGTGCAGGAGCAGTGCACTGGGCGATGATCGGTACTGGGAGTGGTGGACAGCACTCCGCCGCAGTCACGATTAGACAGCTGCTGCTGTTTCTGTTGTTGTTGTTGTTGTCGATGGTGGTGGTGGTGTCGCTGCTGGTGCTGCTCCCATGAATCCTGCTGCTATTCCTGTTGCCCTTTGTTGTTGTTGACGAGTAACTTGCTCCCCACCTCCCGCAGCAGCCCCGCGCAAGCAGCGTCGCGAGCGCACGACGTTCACGCGCGCGCAGCTAGACATCCTGGAATCGCTCTTCTCCAAGACGCGCTACCCCGACATCTTCATGCGCGAGGAGGTGGCGCTCAAGATCAACCTGCCCGAGTCGCGCGTGCAGGTGGGGGCCATCCTCATTCATCATCATCATCATCGTTATCATTTCTCCATCAGAGTTATTTTACTATTTGAAACTATTGTTTATTTTATCAGGTAAGGCCCACTTAAGCTGTATAGCTCTTTTTCAGAAGCAACCTGGCCACAAATGATAGTTCAACGAAGTGGCTTAAATGTAGAGGGAAAAAAAACGGAGGACCCGGAGAAAAATCCACGCGACCACGGGGAGAGAGACACGCAATCTCCAAATATACAGCAGGCGTCAGGGTTGGGATTGAACCTACGACCTCCTGTATACGACGCGAGGTAGTTAACATCTCCTAGCCACCATGGCGTCACTTCGTCCTCCTCCTGAGCATCAGTATAATCATTACTCATTCTCCTACATCATCAAGATCAACTTCCCTGAGTCACGCGTGAAGTTGGGGCCCTCACGGTGCCAACCACTCACATCCAGCGGGCCCCCCCCCCAATGGAGTCCCCCCATCCCGCTGGGGTCACCCCCCCCCACCACCACCGGGGTCCCCTACCACCAAGGTCCTCCCACCGTGGTCCCCCTCCCCACTGGGGTCCCCTCCCACCGGGGTCCTCCCACCAGAATCCCCCCCCCCCCCCCCCCCCCCCACCGGGGTCCCCTCCCACCACCTCCACAAAGAGGTTTCCGGTCTCTTTGGATTCATAAAAAATAATGAGTGAACTAGCAACCACCACGAGCATAACAGAAGGCAAATAAAACATACGAGCAAAGAACACGCAACTGTGAGCCCGTGCCCTCTGGGTCTCAGTGGATTCTAAATACGTGTACAGTACTGCACAGCGCTTGTTGCCAATCTACCACTGGATGAGGTCCTCCCCACGCCTGCACTGGTCTTGGCGGGGGGGAGGAGAAGGGGGGTCATAGTTCACCGTGCTTCACGCCGCTCGCGCTGTGCGGGTCGGCGGAGGCCGGAAAGCATGGATGCAGAGGCGCAGAAGTGCAGAGCGCCAAGGCAACCTGCTGCACTGCCCTCTGCTGCTGCCCGGCACGCATGCCAACCCCGCTTGTGCACGGTGGTAGTCACCCCTCCAAGCGCACTCCAGGTTCAAACCCCGCGGGGTAGCCCCGGGCCGCCGTGGCGATGCCGCACGCGACCTCCTCTACTCCAGCGCCGTGGAGGCAGCGGCGAGTTGTTGGTGGATCGGACAAGTGATGAAATGTTCGCGAAAGCTTCCTTCCCGTGGGCATCGAGGAGGTGCGATAACCCTGGCTTGCCACCAGAATGCAGTGCAGCAAAAGCGTGGACTGATTTAATCTGTCCCTTCTGGATGGGACAGAGCGGGGTTCGGCAACCAAAATAACAACAAGAAGGGACGTTGTTTTCGAATTTGGTAAACAAAAAAACCCCTCAATATTTCAAGAGCCTTAACGCACTGTGGTGGTGAATACGAGACGGTGTGGTCCTTAATAAATAATGTGTCGCGAAGCAGCACTCCGTAAAGAGCCACCGCATGCGGCTCCAGAGGTTGCCGATGCCTGGGCTCGAGTGTTGTCGTCGCCCTTCCCCCCATATGTATTAAACGCTCACTAATTGGCTGAATATATCTTAATATGTGGAGAACTGCAGAGCGATGGTTGGTCCCAGCTCATCGCCTCATCTGTGGTTCTTGCTCGCCGATTGTGAGACGCAATTTGCACGACTCACGACGCGATATATAAAACTAATAGTTTATTATAAGCCTCTGAGATGTGATGATCACATTCTGGGTGATTTGCTCTGAATAATTAACGTCTGCTTCTTCTTTTCGCGTATGGAATGTGCAAATCACGTGTCCAAGTTTAAATCTGTGAGTCATGCGATGGCATAATTAGCAGTCGTCATTTACCGCCCTTTGGCAATCTACTGCTGGATGAAGGCCTCCCCACGCCCTGTCAGCCATGGAGGTTGTTTGACCATACTTCACCACGATGGTGGGTTCAAGTTAAATACACTGCGGGACTCATTCTGTCACTAAGCAACTTGGGCCGGATTTAGAGAGCAAGGCAAGCGAGATCTTTTTTTTAATGTTTAACTACCGCAACGTTCTGTAGCAAATCTTAACCACGAGTCCCGGCGTGCGCGCGCGTGCACGCGGTGTCCCCATACAGGTGTGGTTCAAAAATCGGCGCGCCAAGTGCCGGCAGCAGCACAACGCGGCTCAGAACAAGGCCCGCCCGGCCAAGAAGAAGATCTCGCCGCGAGACAGCAACGCGGGCGACAGCAGCGCCGGCAGCGGGGGCCAGTTCACGCCGCCAGTGGGTAGCAACGCGGCCGGAGCTGCTGCTTCCGGTTCGTCGGGCAGCAGTGCGGCCGCGGCCGCCGCGGCCGCGGCCGCCGCGGTGTCCCTCTGGAGCCCGGCGGCCGTGTCTCCGGACAGCTTGGCCGACCCGCTAACCTCTGCGGCCGTGCTACAGCAGCAACAGCAGCAGCAGGTTCACCACCAGCAGCAGCAGCAGCAACAGCAGCAGCAGCGCTCTCCCTACCAGATCACGTATGCGCCCCAGCAGTCCGTGTACACGCAGAGCTACCCGGGCTCCAGCGCGTACTACTCGGCGATGGATTGCAGCGCGTACCTGTCCCCGGGCGCCGGCGGACTGAGCCCCATGGCGAGCGCCGTGTCGGCCGGGATGGGGCCCGTGTCCCCGCACACGGCGCTGTCGGCGCAGGCGTACGGCGCGACCGGGCTGGGCTTCGGCACGTCGGCCGACTACCTGCAGGACTACAAGGACCAGAGCTCGGCGTGGAAGCTCAACTTCACGCACGCCGACTGCCTGGACTACAAGGATCAAAACGCGTGGAAGTTCCAGGCGCTCTAAGACGGGCACGGGGGGGGGGGTAGTAGTGACGCGCGTGTCCTAGGAGGTAGAGCTTTGTGCTGCGTTACGCCCGCGCGTGGTGTGTTTGTACGTACGTGCGGCAGCCTAGACACGCGACCCGCGAACGCACGTGGCGCGAGGAGCGAGCGATGCGTGTCGTTTATGTGAAGTTGGTTAATGTCGTCCAGTGGTATTGCGAGTTGCCGGCCTGTTGACCGTCCAAAGAGAGTGGTGGAGGTTCCGTGTTCTTGCAGCAGGGACTATTGTCTCCATCAGGAACAGACAGTGTTGATTTTCCAGTGTTAAGTGGTGCGGCCCCACAAGGTGGAATTCACTTTACTGACCTCCGTGTGATGATTGATGGCGTGAACCTAATGATATAAACATGCTTTATTATCATACGTTAACTTGTGATTTCGCCAACTCATCATCTTTTTAATTCGGGGCCAAATCCCGAGTATCGTGCAGAGCGGACAAATAACTCTGCCCACCTCCCCCCCCCCGCCTTGGATTTCAATAACTACTGACTTATTACAAACCTCCCCTCTATATCTAAGATCCTTGAAAGCCTTTCGTTGCCTGGGCTCATAACTAATTACGTCCTAGTCTCCCATCTTGTTTCTGTAATCGGCGTGTCGGCCTGCTCACTCTACAGAAGCCACTGTAGTCTGGGTGATTAACAACAGAACCCTGCCCATCACCGGGGCTTTGCTGTCCCACTTGCCCGGCATTTTGGCAGCCTTTGACACCACAAGGCGTGGTGTTTTGCATGAACGCCTTGGCCGTGACTTTGGTGTTTCTGAACTGGCTCTTCATAACCGATTGTAGTTTTTTTTTCCAGTTAACACCTCGACGTGGTGGCAAAATGTTAACTGCCTCGCCTTGTATACAGAAGGCCATGGGTTCGATCCCGACACTGACACCTGTTGTATATTTGGGGTGTGTGTGTCTCTCTCCCTGTGGTCGTGTGGATTTTTTTCCGGGTCCTCCGGTTTTTCCCCTCCACATTTAGAATCAACATGTGTTCAGAATATTTCACTGCTATAAATTTCCACGTGATGATAAGCCACTTCGTTTAGCTATCATTTGTGGCCAGGTCACTTCTGAACAAGAGCTATATAGCTCAGTGGGCCTTACCTGGAAAATAAAAACAGTTTGGTTTTTAAAGAGTTTACAGTTTAGTTTAAAGTCCAGGAGTCCTCCTCACCAGGGTTCTGTTGTTCCCAGACCCTTTCCTCTTCACCTTCATCTCTCCAAGTGGCCTCCTCCTCCTCGTCAACCCTGGCACTTGAACCAGGCAAGGAGATCGTCGCTTCTCTGTGGCAAGCTCGGGTCACCTGGTATTCCCTCTCTCCCCTCTCACCGTGCCACACTTTGGCATCGCTAACGACCTTTGTCAGAGTCTGAAGACTCGTTCCCCTTTCCCGAATTCGTCTCCCGCACCTCTGAATGACTTTTTTTTTAAGTTCCACTTGTATGTTGCAAATTTGTTAATGAATTAAGGGATCTGAGTCCGTAGCTGTACCATGTGAGCTATCCAGACCACCATAAGCGACATAACAATTAACAAATCCATTATAATAATTCACTAAGGAGGGTCTCAAGACTTTTTTTTCCAGAAGGTGGTCGTACAATGGGATGTTTGGCTAATATAGTACAGCGAGCGTCTGGGTTCATGCGGGGAGGAAAGTAGAGCACCCGAAGAAAACCCACCACCATGTGTACGATGAGGACGCGACACTGTGCCCTGCAGTGTCCTGGCCACGTCTCAAAACCTCGCGCCAGAACTGGATATCGCCCTCTTGGTGCGAGTGCAGACAAACGAGTCTCTCTGAACATTCAAAAACACGATCGTAGCCAATCAGAACCGCTCGTCATGTACAAGCTGTACTCGACAAAACGCAAACTGTGACAACATCGGAGAAAAGACCGTTACTTTTATATACTGTGGTGCATAGGACGTCGATAGTCAACTGTTTTTGGAGTACTGTAGAGTTTGGGTAAAAACTAACACCATACAATCCATCTGACCAGTGTGGAAGAACGGGACAATGCATATATTATCATAGTATGTATTTTGTTTGCATTTTGACTGCAAGTATTGTGGTTAATGCAGACATGAATCCTTGTAATAAGGTTTCAGTTTTGTTGCCAGAAAAAAAGGGGAAAACCCTATTATTATGAACGGGATAATGTTTGTTGAAGTTTGGAGGCGCTATACCTGCAACAGAAAATGTCGTTGTCAGGTGATATTTTACGTTTATGTACAGATGGTGGGTAGGACGTTTTGAGAAAGAGACCCTAAAAAATAGACCCTCTATCCTGTGCAGGTGGACTGATACATGTACTGAATTGCGTGTGTAAGAATTCACATGCATGTAATAGATTCACGTCACCCTTTCAGCCACTAGAGGCACTACCACTTCCGGCAATATTTAAAATGACAATTTATTCTTGAATCGAATTGCAATCCTAAAATGTCGACATTTCGTGGAATCGCCAGGGAGGCAAATCCGTTCCACCTCCGGTCATCATAATCACAATTATCGGTCAAGATTAATCCACTGCTGGATGAAAGCCATCCCAATCCGCCATCATTTCCCATCCTCTCTGATCCGTTCCATTCCTTGGCTGCCACTCTGCCATTCTTCATTGTCTTGACGACTACAAAGGAAATGGTGTCTACCACGTGCTCCAACGTGCACGTACAGTGGCACTCATCCGTTCATGTCTCACAAAGTGGTACTAATTTTATCGACCCCATCCCAGAGGGATGATGGTTTGAGTAAAGTACCTGGCTGCAGTGCCACCTGGGAGATTTAAAAACAGGTTAGAAAAGAAGTCGCGCACACGCATGGATTACGGTAAAACTTTACAACTTGCGATTGTGCTAACGGGTATCTCGGTCAAAATTGGTTTACATATTGCCAATTAGTTTTGGTCTGACTTGTGTCTTCGTGTTTTTTGGGAAACGCTGTGATGTATTTCGCCAGTTTTTCGATAAGTCCCCAGCAGCAACACCACTTCACCCCACAAGTTCGATCGTTATGGAAGTTCTCATGACCCTCTGTTACCTTAAACCTTCATTGGAAATGGTTTAAAGGCGCCACCATGCATGTACATGGCTTTCAATTACTTCCGCATTACCCTGCCCTGAGGGCGAACATTTGTAATATAATACTCATATGGGAGACCACTTTTCTAGAGAGCATGAAGACATAAGTGAGTGTTCAAGGCATGCTGTTGAGTGTTAGGCTATTGAAGTGAGATGCTCATTGAAAGTGACTGATGCATCTTTGTCAGCTGACAGGACTTTCTTTTTTACTGCCTCGAGACATTTGGAATAAAAACAGGCGGTGGCCCATTTTCAACGTCATGTAATTGGTGATAAAGTTGAAACAATTAGAAATTGCCCCAAACAGTTGAACATATCTCCTGTTATTATTGTGCGCCAATCATAACATCACAACCATTGGGTTTTCAGGACCACCGTGATGATACCGTAAGGATCACGCGAGCATAGGCTGCACTTTTTGTCCCACAGTCGATGAAGGCGTGTAGTGGCGTCCGCTGGCAACTCCTGTGTGAAGCGACGTCACAGCTGTGCAAAGCATTCTGGATATTTCCAAAATGGCCACGCGTTGTGTGGCACGCCCTCGTGGGACGCCAGCATCATGCGATGGGAATTCTCGTGCAGACTAAATCGTCAAAGCGGCTGAACTTTAAGCGACGGTGGGCTGCAAGACGTGATTCTCGTGCATAGCTGTGTGCGTGAGTGATGCACGGGGTTTAATAAGCGATATTGGTGAGTACAAAGGGCGATGGAAAGCAAGCATCGTGAAATGATGGTTGACACCTGTATTACAGAAGGCCATGGTTCTGGCATGTCATTTTGACGCCGATAAGACAATTGCATATATGTATCAAGGGATACCGGACCGAAACGAATAGCGCCAGTATAATTAACTTTTAAAACATTGCAAGATCTAAGCGTGCGGCATAACTTTAAGCGATGCTGAAATCATTTTTGCCACGGTTAGACTGGTGAAGAAAAGCGGTAGTCTATGTGGCTCTTTTAACCACTCTCAGCACGTTTTGAATCTCCCACACATGATACATGTGGGGACATGTATATTACAAACAAATGATGTTTTAATAATGAAACGAATTAGTGCATAAATGTCCGTGAATACATGTTTTAATTTAAGTACGGTGTTTGGTTCATCGTGCGGGATGGTGGAGCTAATATTTATATATTCCCAATCGATGACATTTTCGCCACTGTTGTTCAGCGGGGTGGCCGAACAAGAGTCATAAGGTGACGGAGAATGAGCAAACACTCGCAGCTGGCAACAGTGGGACGCTGTTAGGCGGTGGTGGGGGGCTGTGTACGAAGCATTGCTCCGGTGTCCTGCATTAATCACACAGAACGTGCAATAAATGTCAGCAGACCCACATTTACGGAATGGGATGAACTTGGACGACGGCTAATAAAGAGGAAATAGCATGGGACTTGCAACAAGTTTTATCCAAGTGGTAGTATTGTAATAAGCAAACAAAAACAAATATCGGCAAAAGCTTGCAACATGTTGCTGTTAAGAAAAAGTTGAATTTCTGTATTTTATGCATACGTTTATAGACGGTTAAAAATAAGTCTAAATATTCGGGCGTATATACACTAAATTGTATATATGTCTCGATAGAATTCACATCCGTTGATTTTAAGTTTATTGTATCTTTGTATATTATTGTGTACTGTTCGTTATTTATGCCGTAAACATGTCATTTAAGTACCCTCGAAAGCCATAGATGTTGTAAACATAGACTTTGTTCGTACGAGTATTTATAAATCGGTGTGCATTGGACATTAAGCAGTGATATTGCAGTGTTTTTAACTTAGATTTTTCCCAGTTCCCTGGCTATCTTGCTAAAGCAGAACCACTAACACGTGCAGAATATGCAAAACACTGGCCCTGTGTCATATAGACTACTGTGAGATGTCTCTGTGTGTATATATATAGAATTATACATAAGCTGCGTCGTACAATTAAAAAGAAATTATCCATACCGAGATGGCAAATGTTCAATGTAAAAATTCAGCACACACGCTGTACGTAACTTAGGGTAGTTACAAACGTGTTTTGTTTGGCATCACTGGTCACGAAATGAACAAAAAAATAAATCTGCTTCAGTCCCCGAAGAAGCTCCTGGAGTAAAACATCGGACATCAAAGACGAAGTACAACCGTTAAACACATTGGAGAGCTGTACAGCAAAGACAAAGATCCCCCTCATAGCCTTCACAGATTGTTGGGGCAAGTGCTGGCAAAGGCTGCAGAGCGTAACCGCAAACACCTACGCAGTGGCATTTTCCGCCTGATAAAAAGAAACCCACTTCACACTGCACTTGTGTGCAATCCTGCAGTGTCGCCTTTACATTGCGTTAAACCGCACGCTTTGTAGAGCCATCTGTACGGCAGCAGCCTCGTACGGTGTGGCCAGCAGTGGCGTGGCTGTCGAGTGTGCAGGACGGTGCAACTGCACCGGGCTCTATAGGGGCCAGAGAGACCCAGCCGATGGACCATGAAGAGGAGGGAGGTGGAGGTGGTGAAATTGGAAAGGGGGCCCGAATTTTGAATCCGTAAACCAGCCATGCACCACCTGTATTCGGCTAAATATAATAACCATGGGCTGGCTAGTCTGATCGATCACTGCATTCTGTATTTGTAGTTGGCAGGGCATTAAAAAAACACGTCACACCTCGTGTCACGACAAAGAGCTGACTCTTGTGTGTTGGTTGTCATTGTCCAGACCTCAAATTTGAAAATAAACCACAGCCGAGCATTGCACAGGAAGAGCGGTGACTCATGTAATTACGGTTACACAAGTCTTCTTT